CCACCTATGACCAGTTTATTGAAGGCACATAGGTTTGCAAATCTCTCACCGTTTTCGTTCCTTCCTCCCAGTCCATGTTGTCCCATGACGTCTTCGTATCCAGTGTTGTCCTTTCCAACCTTGGCATTGAAATCTCCCATTAGAATGGTCAGGTCCTTGGTTGGGCACTTCTCGAAGATTGACTGCAGCCTATCGTAGAATTGGTTTTTAGCGTCTTCATCGTAGTCGTTGGTCGGCGCATAGCATTGGGTGATGTTCATTGTAATGCCCTCTCTCTTTGTTCTGAAAGAGGCTTTGATGATCCTCGGTTCATGAGATTCCCATCCTATAAGTGCATTTTTGTGCTTTTCTAGACAGCATCAATGCAACTCCTTGTGTATGTGGGGCATTTTCTTTTTCATGACCGGAGTATAACAGAAGTTCCCCTGAAGACAGTCGTTGTTGTCCAACCTGCGTCCAATGTGTTTCGCTGATTCCAAGCACTTCCAGGTTGTATTTTCTCATTTCCGCAGCAATTTGGAAGACTCTGCCGGTCTCCCACATTGTCCGGACATTCCATGTACCTATAAAAATTGTCGCTCTGGTTGTAATAAGGTGCATCGGCCTCATGACTTCCGAATGAACTCGGCTTTCATCATGAGACGTCATTTTTCCTTCTACTCCCAGGGCAGAGTTTGAATGGTTTGAATGATTTTTTCTGGTTAGCGTTTTTTTAGCGAGTTCATTTTCTACGGGATGGGGTCGCTAACCGCATGCCCAACCCTCCTCCTTTACCCGGGCTTGGGACCGGCAGTAGCCCCTGGAGGAGCTACAGGCGGAGTTGTATATGTATGCACTCAAATCCTATTATTAACTTTTGCTTTGTCTTGCTGCTCTCTTATACAATTTGATTATAAATTTGCCTATGTAATTACTCGCGCTTGTTCGCTGATCCTTACTCATGTGATTGTAGCTTTGTGGACTGCATTATTTGATAATAAACTGTAGTTGCAGCTACTCTTTACCTTCTGATTTCATGCACCGTTGAGATTTGTATTATAACGACTATCGAGTTCAAAGACTAACGAATTATTGCACTACAAGGTCATTACAGAAATAATGATACTTCGTTATTTGAACTGAAATTAATGTGGGTTAATTTAGCAATACAATTATGTATTTGATGTTTCTCATTTAGTATGCATAACTGTTATTCAGAAACAATTCTTCAACATTCAATGTGAACTTTCACTATTTTTTCCTTCATATAAAAACAAATTTAACACTTAATATCACCTATTAAGAAGGGGTTTTGTAGAGAATTTAATATTTTCATAGTTGAAATCATGAGTCAATTGAAGCTAGACCACCATGGAAAACCTGAAAGTACTGGATGGCTGTTTCGTCCTATTTTGGGACTCCTCAGCAGTGCGCATCCACGACCCCGCACTCGCGAGACTCAAACCCAGGACCTACTAGTCTCGCGCCTGAACACATAACTGCTAGACCACTGAGCTGGCCGGCATCCAACGGTGTTAATGTCTAACTTCAACTGGTCCACGATTTTGAGCAACCGTTCACCAATTGTCTTCAGTGAGTTGATATCTCTAAAACAGACTTGGTAAAACTCCACTATTAAGAACTCAATCTTAAGCATACACACACACAATTCAGTCATTCACTTTCACATCGTGAACTATTCACATGATTCTCATTTAATTGACTCATGCTATCCTATTTACAAAAGTCAGCATGTTAATACGATTAGATTAGCACAGTATAGATTTGATTAGATTGTTAAACGCTATATATATATATATATATATATATATATATATATATATTCCTTTGATAGTTTTGATCTTCATCGTTATCCTGAAGAAGTCCAGACAAATTTGAAGGACGAAACGTTGGAAATATTTTACGTTCAATAGATGGGATTATTTCAAATATAATTTTCACACATAATGACTTCCGATGAAACACTTATTCAAGAGTTATTTCCTGGATATCTAGTGGGAAGCAGTGACCAATGGAGTTCAACCACGTCTGTTATAGAGATATCAACTCACTGACGACAAGTGGTGAACGGTCACTCAGATTTCATGGATTGGTTGAAGTTAGACATTAACATTGTTGGATACCGGCCGGCTCAGTGGTTTAGCTGTTAAGTGTTCTTGTGCGAGAATGGTAGGTCCTGGGTTCGAACCTCGCAAGGCAGGGTCGTGGATGCGCACTACTGAGGAGTCACACAATAGGATGAAACGGCCGTTCAGTACTTTCAGGTTTTTGATGGTGGTCTAGCTTCAATTGATTCATGATCTGAAGTGTTAAGATTACTATAATATCCACAAAACCTCTTCCGATTCTAGATAAATGTTTGAAATGTAATTAAAAACATAATGATAATGAGAATAGCACACAAAATTCATGAACAAGCGTACTGATATATTTGAAAATGGTAATACAGAGTAGAACGTGTGTTACAGATACTAGTAATCATAATCAAGACAAAACTGACAAATATAAAAGTTATAAGACTATTAAATGATTGCATAATCGATGATGGTCTAGCTTCAATTGACTCATGATTTCAACTTTGAAATATTCTGAAATCTCCACAAATCCCCTTCTGATTATAATCATATGCTCACTAGTGACTGACTTCAAGATACATGTCCTGGAGTTCTAGTGGGAAGCAGTGACCAGTGGAGTTCAACCACGTCTGTTGTGAGATAACAACTCACTAAAGACAATTGGTGAACGTTTGCTCAAACTTCATGGATTGGTTGAAGTTAGACATTAACACCGTTGGATGCCGGCTCAGTGGTCTATCGGTTAAAGACTCTGGCTCGTAACTGGTAGGTCCTGGGTTCGAATCTCGCGAGTGCGGGATCGTAGGAGTGGACTGCTGAGGAGTCCCATAATAGGACGAAACGGCCGTCCAGTGCTTCCAGGTTTTCGATGGTGGTCTAGCTTGAATTGACTCATGATTTCAACTTTGAAATATACTGAAATCTCCACAAATCCCCTTCTGATTGCATAATCATTCAACATGGTAAGGAACAAAAGGAAATAAACATATAAATATTAGTAACATTATTTAAGAGTTATCTATTATAAGATTATAAATGAGAGGGGTTGGATAGCTAGTGAAGATTGTTTAATTGACACTCAGTTACTGTGAAAGAAAAAGTCTAATCCTAATCAGGTCAAAAATATTTGATATCGATTACTTCTATAAACCAAGAGTTTGCAATTACCTGTTTTCCACTTAATCGAGAGATGGAATTCCAGAAGGAATCGACAGAGGAATCAAGATATTACTAAAAAGAAGCTTTCCTGCTGCTCAGGTTGTTCGTTATACTACTCAAATTCAGATCAATACTATTCCAATGTCTCCTTCAAGTACAGTCGTAAATTTATATGAAACCTGTGGTAGCAATTATATAAGAAGAACATATAGAACGGTTTCTATTTGATTGTTTGAGCACGTTTTGAAGCAATATCACCACAAGTCGATTTGCCAGTCACCTTCGGATAGTGGATATGAAGTGAATACAGGCAATGTATCTAAAAGTATTAACAGGCAACCCATACTGATTGTATTCTGTTCTGTTGTCAAACAATTCCTACATATGGAGAACGGCGTTAGAAATAGGTTTTTCCTGTCACAATAACTAATTCTTAATATAAAAAATTCACTAGTTTTTCAGCCCTCCCGCCTTTTGATCTTCCAGTATTAACTCTAACATAATCTTCGTTTAGATCAAAAAATAGATTCTTAAATAAGATAATTCAATATATCGAGTGAAAATAATGTAAAAAAAGAAACCACTGTATTTTATTCAATAAAAACTATTGACAGTATGGGGGATTTGTAAGGATTGTAGTATTTTCGCAACTGAATTCATGAATCAATCTAAGCCAGAACACCAATGAAAACCTGGAAGCGCTGAACTCCTGTCTCGTCCAAGTATGGGACTTCTAAAAGTGTGTGTCAGCGACCCCGCAACCGAGACTCAAACTAAAGACCTTCATTCTCACGCCCCAAACGTTTATTAGCCAGACCACCGGATTAGCATCCAACAATAGTAATGTCTAACTTCAATCGATCCATGATCTTGCATGACTTTTCATCAACTGTCTAAGGTGGATGATTGTCTCACACCTGATACAGATTGAACTCCACTGATCATGGCTTCTCACTAGAACTCCAGAAAATTCATCTTAAAGCCAGTCACTTGTAAGCAGATGATTATTATGAGAATGGAAATTTGTAGAGATTATAGTATTTTCACAGTTGAATTCACACTTTTAATACTTTCAGCTTTTCATTGATAGTCTAGCTTAGATCAATTCATGAATCCAACTGTAAAAAGAACTATTACAAACTATTGTATTATTAAGAGATATACGCTAATGGACTCATCATTATGTTAAATCATTGTTCAATCCATTGTTGTTAAAAACCTTTGTTACTATTACAGTTTAAAGAATAGAACGTTTTGTTCTCTAACAATTTCTTATTGTCATTCATTGTTAATGTTGGGAATGTTAAATCCTAAGAACTTACTTGGTAAATGGCCTAATTTTGTAATTTGATTTTAAAAATTTGAATTTTTTTGTTTTCGCACCAAAAGCTATCTTTTCACCTTCGAGTCGAATTTCCCACTTGTAAAATATCTTAAATGCTATTGGTCAGTTGTATCTTTGAGTGTGCTATTTTGTAATGCTGTCCAAGGACAATTTATCGCTGTATATATACCTTTGAGGTTTGCCCCTTACGATTGCTGTGCTCCTGGCTGCTACGGAATATATTTTCCTTGCTTCTAACTTGGACTTCTTACTCAAGTTAGCTGAGTCTGGGACGCGTCAGAATAGCTAGCTTATCGGTCTTTGGTCACAAGTCTTTGTTCCATTCGCTAACTAGTGAATTTGAAACGCTTCAGACATAACAATTAATCTACGATTAGTGTAAGCATTAATTTAAAAAAAAAGTGTATTCAATTATAATTTAGGTATTACAAAAGCTCAAATACACGCTTTCGATGGTCGACCATCTATTGCAATGATTGGTTTAAGTGAAGGTTATTACTTTTCAATACCATCTAGCTTACCAAGAAGTAAACAGGTAAATAATTTTGTATATTGTTAATGTTTTATTTTAAACGAAGTTTATTTAATTATTATTATCGTTGCTTGTATTTTCTTTCTTCCAGTAGTCTTTTTTTATCAGGAAATTTTGTGGAGATTTTAGTACTTTCAATGGTTGAATTCATGAGTCAATTAAAGCTATACCACCGTGAAAAGCCTGCAAGCCCTGGAAGGCCGTTCCATCCTAGTATAGGACTCCCTAACAGTGCGCATCCACGAACGCTGCCCGTGAGACTTGAACCAAGGACTTATCGGTCTCGCACACGACAGTTAACCTCTAGGCCAGTGAACCGACCGGCATCCAACGGTGTTAATGTCTAAACTCAATCAATCCACGAAATTGAGCGACACATCCATCATTGTCTCCAGTGAGTTACTATCTCACAATAGACTTGGTTGAACTCTGCTGGTCATAGCTTCTCACTGGAACTTTAGGAAATAACTCCTGAAGCTTGTTGTGGATGCGCACTGCTGATGAGTCCCATACTAGGATGAGACGACCTTCCAGTGCTTCCAGGTTTTCCATGGTGGTGCAGGTTTCATTTTTATATGTGTGTTGGCTTAAATGATATGTTAATACGATAATCAAAAGTGTTATCGCATTTTATTTAGTTGTCTACATGTTAATTATTGACGACAGAATTTAAAGTGTTACTTACAATTATAGTCCCGAATACGGGATCATAGATGCGCACATTTGAGAGGTCCCATAGTAGGACGAAACGGCCATCCAGTGATTCAAGTTTTTCAATGGTGATCTGGCTTACATAAACTCATTAATTACAGACATGTGATCAGTAATAGAAGAAGTGTACACACATGTGAACATATAAATCAGTCAAGGTTGACAAGCGAATAATTAACAAGGTGAAAATGTGACTCAAGTAGGGTGAATAAATTAGCTTGTCCGGAAGCTGGAAGAAACTATGTGGCTTTAACATAGAAACCGACACTACAGTACTTAGAAATGTTATTCGCCTTCAAAACGGCTAAGGCGATTTTATTTCTTGAGTATATTGTCACTACGTCTCTACTTATTTGTATTGATGTTCACAGAAGTGACATTTGGAAAAAAAACTAAATAGACGTTCAAAAATTTATTTACTATTGTTTGTTTGAATCTTCTCATCGATGTGTTAGGACTGCAACTGGTCAGTTTTTAATTGGCATATGTTCATACTGTGCGTATTGCCTCGATATAGCCTAATTCACAAGCATGGTAAGCAAAGATAGATAGTGGCTAGCAGTGGAATCCAGGACATGCGTTTCGTTCTATTTGCAACTCGTCAGCTGGACGTACCTGCATCTCAGAGTTGATGTTTACTATGGGATGTCTGGTAGGTCCTGGGTTCGAATCTCGAGAGTACCGGACCGTGGATGCGCACTGCTGAGGAGTCCCATAATATAACGAAACGCCTTTCCAGTGCTTCTAGGTTTTCCACGGTGGTCTAACTTCAATTGATTCATGATTTCAACTATGAAAATAATGAAATCTCCACAAATCCCCTTCCGACATAATAATAAATCAAAAGTAATGATATAATTCATATATTTCATTACTAATATTGTCCATATTTAGGGTATTTAGAATTTGAATGAATCTGACTAAAGTTAGTTTGTTAATAAAAAATGAAGCTTTTGTTAAATAATATTTAGTATCAGGGGAAAACGTCTCCTTTGACTAATTTCCATGGATATAGTTAAAGCCTTCAATTATACGTTAATGAAATGCAAATGGAATATGATATATAACTTAGTATATATGAACAAATCTTTTTATTATAGTTATTATAATAGAATAACTTTATCTAAACAAATATTGGAAAATGAAATAGTGTTTTCATTCTAGTATCCAATGTTTAACTGATGTACAGCGGAGATATTGTAGTGTGGGTTACTTATATCCACATAAGTAGTATATAATGATGGTCAGGCATAGAATGTATTTCAATTGAATATCGATTAGGAAAGAACGGAAACGAAAATCAATTGGCATGAAAATGCATGAACAATAATAATTGGAGACAATGGACTGATATTTGCAAAAAGGAGCAGTCAAGTTTGAGACGATAATTTGTTATTTTACAAATTAACTATTTATTAAATGGTTGTAAGATTTTAGTGAGATATTCTTCAATTTTGTGCCCAAATACATTCTGGTTTCCCCACTCGTGTTCTTGTTAACTGCAATATCATCAGTTTTATCTGCTTCTTCACGATGTTTTAATTGAAGAGTATTCCTGTATTAGTACTAGTTAGTGTAATATAAACTCGAGTGATCAATTTTACTGCACTGTATGAGCCAAAAACGTAAATCCTGACAAGTTACTTACTTATGGCTGTTACCCACAATGGAGCATAGGCCGCCGACCAGCGTTCTCCAATCCACTCTGTCCTCCTACTTCCTTTCTAGTTCTATCCAATCACTGTTCATTCTTCTCATGTCTGTCTGCATTTCTCAGCGTAATTTGTTCTTTGGTCTTCCTCTTCTCCGTTGACCTTCAGGATTCCATGTGAGTGCTTGTCTTGTGACGCAATTGGGTGGTTTCCTCAATGTGTGTCCTATCCACTTCCAATGCTTCTTCCTGATTTCTTCCTCCATTAGAATCTGGTTTGTTTTCTCCTCAGTAGGTTGTTGTTGATAGTGTGTGATCAAAAGATCAGAAGTATTTTGTGTAGACAACTGTTAATAAACATCTGTATCTTCTGGATGGTGGTCTTCGTTGTTCTCCAGGTTTCCGCCCTCCCTCAGAATTTAATTCTATGTTAATATTTTTTGCTAAACATGATAATCTCAAAGTATTTTCATAAATTATTTAAAAGTTCTTTTTTACAGTGACATTTACATCTCAAGTGAGTAGTATATCAGCATCTTCAAAAAAAACTTTTTATTTTATAGAAACAGGAATTAGTCAAAGCTTTACCATTGGATCGTATTCTAGTTGAAACTGATGCACCAGTACTAAATTCAACTGCACTACAGGTAAGTGACGTTTTCCATCGTTTTTTTTTACTATGAAAATGTTTTGTTAATGGAAGTTGCATTTAAAAGAGTGTTTCTTTTTTCTTCACTATGAGATCCGTTTAAATTTTATGACAATAGATTAGGACATTGTTTCTTTCATATTCAGCAAATTACAAAAGCTGAGTTATACGAAGTAGTCTTTGATTATTAAGATGAATAATGGCTAGCAGTGAAATCCAGGACTCGCGCTACGTCTTATTTTGGACTTGTCAGATGGATGTAGCTAAGATGCAAGTACTTAGTTCCGAATAGGACGAAACGCGCGTCCTGGATTCCACTGTTAGCTAATATTCCTCTTTGCTTATAATGCTTGTGAATTAAGGAAATATCAAGTCAATACGCAAAGTATGCACAAATGCCAATAAGAGACTGATCAATAGCAGTCCTAAACATCAATGAGAAGATTTAAGTAAACAATGCCAAATGAATTTAAAATTCACCCTATTGCACAAGGCTATCAGGACATTTCCAACTAGAAACTAGTCATTGTCAGTCAAGTGAAGATTCTTTACACATTTGACAATGTTATAAATATATTCAATTATTTATATATATAGTTACTATGCCATTTCATAATGACATTTTATTGTTAAAGATGATCAGTCAAACTGACGTATACATAAATTATGAATTGTGGGTGATGTTCGTCACCGACTGAAACCAGTTGAAATCTTTTTGAAAAAACAAAAAAGACACTGTGCAGTTGAAACGTGTTTGTGTGTAACTGTTTTTAGATATCAAACTTATAATCCTCAAGTGTCATTTCAGGTAAAGTACTGTATTATTTAGGGAATATAACTAACTAGTGCCCCCCCTCGTGATTGTGTTATTTGCTTCATGTGATGTCTATCAGTGACGAATATGGCTTATTATTTTAACAACTATACACGAATATACATAAAATATTAACCGAGTGATAGTAAATATTTATTTTTGTTATCTGAATGGGAATTTATGGAAATTGTAGTAATTTGAACAGTTGAATTCACGAGTTAACCTAAGTTAGACCACAATTGAAAACCTGACATCACTGGACGCCCGTTTCCTCTTAATGTGTGATTTCGCATCGAGACTCTAACTAAGAACTTTTGATCTCACACGCTAACACTTAGTCTCTAGACCACTGAATTGGAACCCAACGGCGTTAATGTCTAACTTCGATCGATCCATAACCAAGCGCAACCATTCATCTATCTCCACAAATCCCCATTCTCATAATAATCATCTGCTTACAAGTGACTGGCTTCAAGATGGATTTTCTGTAGTTCTAGTGAGAAGCCATGATCAGTGGAGTTCAATCTGTATCAGGTGTGAGACAATCATCCACCTTAGACAGTTGATGAAAAGTCATGCAAGATCATGGATCGATTGAAGTTAGAAATTATCATTGTTGGATGCCAATGCAGGAGTCTGGCTAATAAACGTTCACGTGTGAGACCGAAGGTCATTGGTTTAAGTGTTGATTGAGGTATAATAGATACTCACTTCTGAGGAGTCCCATGCAAAGACGAAATGAGAGTCAAGTGCTTTCGGGTTCTCACTAGTGGTCTGGCTTAGATCGACTGGTGAATTCAGCTTTTGAAATTTATATTTTCATCATATATCTCGCATTGTTCATCATTTTGAATTACAGAGCCGTACTGAACCAGATGAAGCTATCAAAGTTTGTGAACACATCGCGGAAATAAAAGGAATAGATTTTGAAACAGTTTGTCACATGACAACTGAAAATGCATTTAAACTTTATGGATCACTGAATGTGAAGTGCTAAATTCATGTGAACTGAAACTGAACAAAACCGAATTGAATTTTTACAGGACCATACATTATTCTATGTGTTGTTATATTAAACTGGAAAATACTCCGTTTGTTGTTTATAAAGAATCCAAATCTGTCTCATTTGCAAATCTTCCATCAGTTGTTTCAAACTTCATCTTTCCTTCATTGTTTTCGTCATTACTCTCTGTTCCCGTTCCGGTTCTCTTCAATTCGATTTTAGCCGTCTGTTGTCAGGCATTCCACTTCTGAATGTTACTACATACTATTTATATCCGTCGACATAAGTAGTAAATATCACAGTTTTATCAATAGACAACAAATAAGATTTTATAACTGGAATAAATCAAACTTTTAACTGAGTAACGTATTTCATTGAATATTACGAGAACGTAGAATGTACTGAGTTTTTTCATTAACGAAATGTTCATGAAAATGACAATAAATTCAATCAGAAACAACATAATCACTTTGCACAATCAGTTCCATACATGTTTCAGGCTACCATCACCGTATTAAACAAAACTAATTATGCGATAAACCCCGCCTGGAGCTTCTCTGAGGTTACTGCCAGCCCCAAGCTCAGATAATGGAGGAGGGTTGGGCATGAGGTTAGCGACCCATACTGTAGAAAACTGACCCGCTAAGAAAACGCTAACCAGAAAAAAATAAGTAATTATACGTATTCTTTGGAAATAGAAGTATCACCAGTAAAGTCTCAATAATCGATCTACAGGAGTAGACAGGTTTAAAGTAAATAGATATTTCTATAAATTATAGCGAAAAATAACTTCCCTGAAGAACATCGAAACAGTCTGACATACAAAACATTGGAATTATTTAGATTAGGGTCTCTAAGGTTATTTCAAATATAATTTGTATATCTAACATAATTTTTTAGTATTATAAATCCAAATAGTGGAGATACATCCACTAGAGTTAAATTATGTTGTCATATAGTTGTGATGACCAATGACTTATTGAACCTGAAGTAGATCATGGTTAGACAGAAGACTGAACGCATTTGATCAGCACATGAAGCTGAGGTCTTGTTTAATCTATTTCGGTGTTGCTTTAGTTATTTGTAGGATCCTGAATATAATAGATTCCGTAAAAAATCCTTACTAACATGACAGACTACCGAAAACGACTAACTCATCCCAGATGCATGACATTTTTAAATCGAACCGATTACAATTTACCTGCTTTCAGTCTAAGTACACCTTCCTTTGGTCATGCTACACGGTGTTCATGCAAATGAAAATGTAAATTCCTGAAGCATAGATTAGTCTAACCTGCTTAACAAGACAAGTCTAATTGATAAATGGTTGTAGTTTAAATGCATTAAACGTTCTCTAAGCGGTTCTGTGTTATATTTGGATATATGTCTTCCTGGCAATATCACCTCTGAAACATAGTCACATTGATATAGTACTGTTTTGCCTTCAGTAATCTACTTCCGTCGAAAACTAAACATTCATTTTAAATTATTGAATACAAGTAAACTTATATCATTTGTTTATTTTCTTATTTATCAACTATAAAATATTCAGCTTATTTCTGAGAAAAATAGGCTTAATTCCACATAATAGAATCTTATTTTATTTCAAAATTCCACTTGTCGTAAGGTTAGCACTCAAGAAGTGCATCCTTAATTGTATTGCCATAATATAATAACCTATTATGAGTGTTCTATGATAATAATATACACAAACTAAAAACACATTATTATTAAAGGAAGTCGTCTGTTCATTAGTGACTAAATTCTCAAAGTTTAGGTGTTAGGTGTGATACAAGTACCATCAACAACACCATGGATCATGATCGATTAGTTTTCCAAAGTACTTAAACTTAGAAACATAGACCATCGGATTTCACTCAAATGGATCGAATTTAGTGTACTCATCGACAGGTCTGAAAGTCCTTGTTCCAATCTTCAAGAGGATAGTTGATAAACGTTATGATTCTTACTTAGATAAAGTTACGTTTTGAACATGCCTCGATTTTAGTGCTCAACTAGCTATAATCAGCCTACGAATCTATATAAAAATGGTAAATATTACTATATTAACTACGTGATTAAATGCACATATCTATCAACTGTAGGTATTAGTATCAACAATGAAACCATTGGCACGGGATACGTATCAATACCATCCACATAAATTTGCTCCATGTATACGAGAAAACCGTTTATTTGGATGTGCTTTGCAAAATATTATTACAATCACAGTAAATGTTTCTTACAAAGTTGTCAAGTCTGGGTAGACCTCTACAATAAATTATTTTAATAAACATGACGAGATCACTTGTAAGTAATTACTCATCCACTTGATTAATCAATGCCATCCTTTCTGAATATAAAGCCAAGGTTTTCTACTATCTTTACTGAGTTATGTTTACTATTGGTGGAGACCAATAATGATCTACGTTAAAGCTTCTGTCTACACTTTCTTATACGCCATTCATCAACTCTTCATCAAACATATCTACGACAGCAGGAGTTATACTCTTTTGTGTTTCAAGTGTCGTTCAGTTAAGGGATCTTCATCTCTGATTACTAGTATCATTAGCGGCCATTATGTTCATCGTAGATTCCCTGACTCTAAAAACTCACTGGCTAGTTCTTCTCATAGGAGAGACGTTTAATAGCAATAAACGAAAGAGGTGTAAGTTTCGCAACCCACATTGATACTGTAGATGGGGTCGAGTCGCGATTGACTATGATCACCACTACAATAAGATTACGCGCCAGATAACGACTTGGATCCCTCGATAAACCGAAAACCAGAGGGTTGTTATTGGTCCAGATGAGTTATATTTATTGACGATCTCGTGGTATCGAAAGAATACCGAGACGTGCCAAAGAGTACAGGCAAAATGGCAGAGCGTAGGAGAGTTCGCACGAACAAGATGGACAATGCAATGAAAAGTGATTCTGGTGCAGTTAAACAAGCAAGTACAGTAAAATAATCACTGGTATAACTGACTAATAATAATTGTTTCTATTATACCAATCGTGTTCTCGTCATAAAAAGTAGGTCAGTACAATACAATATAGGTTGACTGGAATGATGCTTGAACAAATCCGCTATGAGTTCTGATGCCTGACCAAATTGAATACATGCTTATTGTTACCATCACGATGTATCATTTTATAATCTTGAACTATATAATCATTAACTGGCCATTAAGAGCACGAGACACATTCCTTAGCCATGTAAAACTTTCTCAAACATACTTCGACTTACATCTAGTCTCCTTTCTCTAACATTAATCGTCGATAACGTCACATAATCTGTTACCTTGAGATCATCTTTATTAAATTCGCAACTTACAAATTTTGTTCAGCTGTCTATCTCATACTTAACTAGGTTATGAAGTACATTCCGATTAAATTACCCTTTGGAATATGTTTTGCAAATTTTCGTTTGTAAGCATACCTTACCATATTCGAGCAAACCTGGTTCTCACAAAAGTAACCAACTTTTCAAAGTTTGGGTTTCTTGTCAGTCATCATAGTCTTATCAGTGGCTTCTGACACCACATTCTGTAAAGCTAGGGGCTCACAAACACACAGTATTTTCCAGATTAGCTGTGCGGCCTATGTGCTGCAAAATTATATTTTTATTACATTGCGTGGTCGAGAGGTCGATCATGTTATCTGATGAACATTCAATAGGCTTATGATTAAGTAAATCCATAATGGATTAACGAGAAAACGGTTTTCCCCTTCCATATAGATTATACAGAATTTATCTCGCTCTATCATAAGACAAATGACAAGGTAAAATGATCCAATATATGGAAGCCGTCCTGAACTGTGCTATACGTTGGTAGAGTAATAATCATGCGAGCCAAGACTACTACTCTTAAGCAGGTTTCCAAGTTTATAGCCATGAAATAATGTTGTACAATAGGGCATTTTCTGTGTAACAGGTAGAAAATCATAAAAATCATCTTCTTTCTAGACTAATTTAACTCGAATTGCGTTCTTTTATATGGATGGAGTCATCGCGGTGTAAGTTATGTAATTAGCTCATATATAACGTTAAGTAATCCCAAATCGAACAAAATGTTTTCGATAATTCCAGATGGATGTTACTAACATTATCAAGATAGTGAATTTAAATAACAAACTAAAAATTCGATCAGCACCAGCAAAAGGGACGAACTAAATCCAACGATCGAGTATAACTAAAATAAAAAAGATGACGTACAGAACTCCTAGAGCTCTGATTTATTTTTCCTTCATGATATAGATCTGATACTTAGACATCTACCGTATTTAATAATCTAAAAAAAAAATTATTCAGTAACCGAATAGTACCAGTGAAAATTGTTGAGATGATCCAGAAAACTTCTCGCAAAAGACAAGAAGGGCTCAGGAAAGATTAAGAAGTATTTTATCCAATCAGCGCTCACTAGAAGTTTTGCCAAAAACATTACGAAAGTGTAAAATCACTTGTAGAGTTTCTGGTTGGCTGATTACAACACTGCTTCTATGTTTAGTAGCATTCTAGAATTTGTCAGGAAAACACAAGGACTTCCCTAAATACTATAAAAACCCTTTATTTTCTGTACATAAATGAACCTTTGGGACAAAGTGCTTCTAGCATAGTTTGCACTTTTTCTCTCGTGTTCAGGTTGCTGTGTAGATTTAGCTTGGAAGTTACGAGAATAGCTTAGGAACCGAGTATAGCAATCGATTAACAAGACTTATCAAACATAAAAGCATCTAAGAAAACTTCAAATAGACAGTACCTGAACAGTTTTTTATCATGTCTATATAGTCAAACAGGTAAGGAGAAATTATGATCGATGATTTCAGTTTGTTTTAAAGGTAAACAATCCATTACAAAATAGTAATTCTTTGTAAACTCATAAATCATACAACAAGTTACTAGTCAATTCATTCAAAAGATGAGTAACTAAAATTTCAATGACACTAGAGGTACCTGAAAAAGAAACTGGGTTAAAGGTGGTCTTAATGACCTGAGAGCGTGACCGCAGTGCCCAAGGGACAACTGTTTGAGGTCGGTCGCACACGACCCTCTTGTGAGTAATTTTTGTGTTAGCTCCGTACTTGTTGGGACCTTACCACCGGAGACGGATATTTGTGGGATAAGGCGAGGTGTGCATTTTTGGGGTCGACTTTTTCTAACGCCACCTCTCCTTGTAAGAATTCAGCATCACTGCTATGCTGATTGTCTGAAGGAAACACCTTATTGCTGTCACACCTGTATGCAGTCAGCATTAGGACTTCACTTTCGGACCTTGGCTTTGCTGCTTTTAGTCTTACCGCTCTTCAACCGACTTTTATGGCATGGTAGGACCTTGAGGAACGATTGTTCCAACCAGTATAGCACGATTAGTTCATCACAATAGGCAAGCTTGACCACCACATCAAGGTAGCAGCAACGGTCTGGAACAGTTTATATATCATATTCCTTATTTTATTCTCGTCCCCATCAAATGCTAATACTAATAATTGTGACTGACTGATATTATCCATAGTTGAAATCAATTGAAGCTAGACCAACATGGAAAACCTGGACGGCCGTTTCGTCCTA